CTGAGATGGAAATGAGAAGGCAGTTTAGGTTGATGCTAAATGAAATCAACTGTCTTCTAAGCAGGACCAGACTTTTGTTTGTTTTTCTTTTGTTTTGTTGTTTTTTGTTTGTTTTATTTGCTGGTTGGGGTAGTTATGTTTTTTTTGTGCTCTTTTTTCTTTTATATTTTTCTTTTTTTTTTTGCTTTTGTTTTTTTTTTTAACCTTCATTTATAAAATCTTTAAAATTCTGCTCTGCATAGAGAACTTGGTTGTCCTTGATATTAACACTGTTCAAAAATTTCCAACAAGGCTGAAAGTATTCAGATATAACAATACGGTCATAACAAACAGCTATTGGACTTTCTCAGCTTCTTTTAGAAAAGACAGAGGAAGAACAGTTTTTCTGAGCTATACTTACCATACACTGACCCTCAAGGATAGGTCTAAAGACCTGTGGTAGGTGCAGCTTTTATCACCCTCGCAAAAGATAAGAGCGTATATGAAAGAAAGAGGTGAGGAGATGACACCTACAAATTAAGTGCTAAATATATCAGCTTTAAAGAAAAATAAAATCCTATTCCTTAAACTAAAGAAAGAAATAGGTCTCAAGTAATTTTTCTTTTTATCTCTACATTTAAATATGATGCACTTTGTAACTTTCAGAAGCCTCCCAAGAAGGCGGAAAATATCACTTTTCTGTAAGACCTAAATTCATTACAGGGAATATTTATTTATAATACTATCAAAAGTATGTGAATTATGGGCAGCACCATCAGTGCATTAATCTCCCAAAACAGAGCAGAACTGTCAACATTAGTACCTTATGACTTCTTTGTGTTATAAAAAGATTCTTCCAAAATGTTATATAAATGGTGTCCTGCAGCAGGGTTTTGTTTTGTTTTGTTTTACATTAGTAGAATGATTTCCCCTCTATTGGAAGCATTGTAGAAAAATGTGCTCAAGCAGAACTGTTTGCATGCTCCACTCATCTAGAAGATTGTAACAGAATTAAAGGTACTGTTACTTTGATATTCTATCTTTGGGAATTTCACTAGATAGATATCCTCATATGTTTGTGATGATCAAGTATCAAATAAATGCTGTTATCTAATGTTAGCTGCTTTTGGTGGATAAAATGGACAAAATGCAGAGAAATAAGGCTTCATTTTCAGAAAAACTTGGCTAGGTGATGCTATATCATCCCAAACTTACCACAAGACAGGCATTTTTTTGCAGTGTTTGTTATGAAGAAAAAGTTTTTACATATGCAATTTCTTCAGATGCAAATTCCATGAGAGATTAAGTGAATAAAACAAATGTGGGTATTTCTGTTCATAAAATTATGATCCGTATCTGTCTCTAACATAACAGAAATTCCCAGAGATTCAGATGATATATTAAAGCTCATTCTTTAGCTACCAAAAGTTAGTTTCCAAGTTCTGGATGACTTGTAAAGTGTCCCATAAAACCACGGTAAAATCAGATTTATCCCTCTCTTTGGACTTCAGCTGGAGACAAAGTATTTCCTGGTATCTCTGCAGAATGCAACTAAATATTGAAATACATTTGACCTTCATAATCCACAGGAAGACAAATTCTACATTCTCATGATAGCAGAAGGCACTCAGGTAATGCTCAGAATATACATGTGTTAATCACCTGGGAGTGCAGAGCGGTGGTGAATTCATTCATATGTTGTAGACAGCTATAAAATTATTGTTTTATTTGGTGCTTTAAGAATAATATCTAAAAAGCAGTTAGCCCATAAAGGGGTAATTTTGTGTTTTATTTTATGTGTGTCATTTTATCTTTCTGTTGTGATATTGATTTATATAATATACCAAAATTAGAAAATCTGTACTGAAAGAACAACAACATTATAAACAAAAGCTTTAGTTCAAGCATTCCTTAGCTTCTAGGTTTACCCGTGGGACTTTAAATTGCCTCTATAGTTTTTCTTTTTTCTGCTCTTTGACATTATCTTTCATTGATTTATAATTTTTTCCACCTTATCCTGCCACCTTCAGTTGATATGATTGTCAGTAGTCTCTAGTATAGCCATTAAATATTGAATCTAATCCTTGCCTTTTAGTGTATGAATTGCCAGTATTTATTGCATATTCTTCAAAACTGAGATTGCTATTCCTAAGTACATGGGGAGAAAAATCCTCTTATTATATGAGTTAATTCTGGGTGCTGCCCTTGAGGTGCTATGGACCATCACTTGTCCAAAGGAGAGCTCTGTGGACTTCTAACATGCCCCTTTGACCATTGACAGTGCAAATTTAGGTTTGTCCCTCCAACAAAAAAGGAATATCCTTGAGAGGATTTTTTTTAACAGGAAACATACAGGCTCTTTCATACACACTCACAGAGAATGGTTTCCTAGCCTGGGACACTTACTTGCATGTCTCTTTAGCAGTACATGCAGAGCTGTGCAGACACAGCTAGTTTTGCTAGACCTGGACATAGGAGGAACTACAAATGGGATGCTTCTCTCTCTGTCTGCAAGCAAAGTAACCTGACGAGCCACCACAGAGTCTCTACCGGATAAGGCTCTGTGCACAACACAGACATGGAAAGAGGGAGTTCAGTCTCTCCTTTACAAGTTAAAGAAGCACCAGGGATATGGAGAAAAGTTTAATCCTTCCTTTTACCTTGTTTATAACCATATCCTTGCTTCCCCATTTAATACTCAAGCTACTAGCCTACAACTTGCAGGAAAGGGCAAGAGGAAAGAGCAAAGTAACGCATGACATGACAAGAGGCTGGAAAGAGGGAAAAGTATGTACTTTGCAAATTTAACATTAGGAAACCTGCATGGAAAACTGTTACCTTGTCTGTGAACCTGCAGTGAAGGGTGATGCAAATTGGCAGACAGATCACATCTATTTGCTAAACAAATAAGAAAGCTAAAGCTCAAGAATAAGTTACCTGGTTCTTGTAAAGATGCATGTTGCAGTGGCTAAATATCTTTTACTTCTTTTCGTTACCCCTAATCAGCAAATTTTCCCTGCATTAAAAAGAACTTTATTACATTAAATAATCCCATTCTAGCTTCCTGTGTCTGGAAATGCTAATTTAAAAGTTTATAGATTTAGCAATTACCACCTTTCTTGACCAAGGTTACTTAAATGTAGCATGGCTAATTTCATTCCCTGTGCTGTAGTGCTACATGGCTTCTTGTCAGGAACATCATTCAGCTGATATTGGCTCCAAGAAGTACTGAATCATACAGTATATGTGTCTTTTTATCTGTATATTTATATCTGTATCCATACCTATATTTACAACTCTTTCCAATGCATAGAAGTAGTATTTCTTCATAAAGCAGGACTAAATCAGTTTCCCTTGAAACTCACATATATTTGTGGTGGTTCGGAAACCAGATGCTCCTCCTCTGACCCATAATTTTCCGCCTGATGTAGAAAAAAAACCCTTAATGACTTGGTTTGCAACATTAAAACCAGACTAAAGAGAGCCCCTCCGGTTAAAAAGTCCAGGCAACCACAACTGTGAGTGACCCAGAAGAGAAAATCATAAAGTTCTTTTTGAAGTCTAGCTTACTGTTCAGTGTTTTATTACTGCGTATCATCATAGATATTTTTCGTCTACTTAGTGTTGCAATTAATAAAAATCATTATACTAAGGTAACTAGGTGTCAGATTCATTCCCAGTTAAGAATGTCTGTTGATTAAAAACTACTTTACAATGACATTAAGCTGCAAGGAATAAGTCAAAAAAAAAAAAGGCATAAGCCCAAGACACGCACTGCCAGTCTCCATAGATTTAAACTTAATTAAATGAGAAAACAGCAGGACTTCTTTTGCTCACACAGAGGATTCCCAGAGCTGTCCCACAAACGTTATTCAGTTATTGCAAGTCAAGAGCCCAGCTTGGTATATTGTTCTATCATTAATGCTGCCAGTCATTCCCATTAGGTCTAGTAACTAATATGCCATGCTGCTGCAATAAAAATAAAAAGCCCTGGCCTTGTACTAAACATGTTTTGAGGTTGCAGCCTATGTAATCACACCAGTTTATCCATTTATTAACGCAGTAAGCTGGACACAAAATTCAACACTGAAATGGTGCTATTTTGAGAGGTGTTGGCCACCTGCTCCTGGATGCAACTGAGCCTTTCATTTTGTGACATCTAATGTGGCATTGTCGCTATTTAAAATCAGACCTCCACAAAGTGTCCTGGACCCCTGGTGAGGTGAAGCAATGCCCTTTGTGTCAGCCCAGTCTTCCCCCTATACTGGAGTAGACAGTCTCCAAGCAATATACGTGTACCCCCAGTAAATCTGGTATTTTTTTACCCCAAAGTATGAGAAAAAAACCTGACATTGCTTCCTAACCCCCTGCAAATCATTTGCTGTCCTTTGAAGTATGGAATTATTCATATGACATTTTATCTTGACTAGCTACCAGCACCCTCAAGTCCAGTTTTCTTTTCTTAAATTTCAGTTTTAATACTTGAAGGTTTTCTATTCTCAAAGATAAATTAGGAAATAAATGAGCCCACAGACAAAGCTGAGAATATACTATATAGCAGTAACATAAAAACATGAACATGAAAATGTCATCAGCAATCAGCATCATTGCCAAATAAGATATGCTCTTGTTAATTAAGTTTTTGGTTTATTTGTTTTTTGTTGTTTTTTTTTTGGGGGGGGGGGAGGGGTGTGTGGTTTTTTATTTTTTGGTTGATTTTATTTTGTTGTTTGGTTTGTTGTTTTATTTCCCAAGAAATATGGCTTATAGTGTTAGGGAGAGGAACAAAAAGAAGCTGAAGAGATGAGAAAAGATAGTAAAACCAAACCTCTAGCTCCAGAAAAATGGCATTACTGCCGTCATAATTGCAGGGTTTTTTAAAATGGCCTGATCTGTGCATGAGGAGCTGTCCTTTCATGCAAACACTGTTACTTTTCGAGCTTAAAGGCCATGCCATGTGTTCATGAATTTTAATGTAAGCAAAATCAGCTGCCTTTTCTTTTTTTTTTTTTTTTTTTCCACAGTTTTTAAGATCTCTCTTTTCTTTGTTGTGTGGGGTGAGGGGCAAAGGAGCAAAATGGCCAAAGTATGAGATGCAGCGTGCTGGTACATGCTGTTTCGTCTCCAGCTGAATCCTATCCTCCATGCTCTAAAGATATCACATTTACAACAAAGAGACCTGAGAGACTGGGACCAAATAAGTACTTGGAGCACAGCCTTTCCAAACCACCACTAAGAGAAAAAGAATGTGAAATGAGAGTAGCCCTTGACTCTTCACAGGTTTGTCTGAATTCACTGAAGTACATGCTTCTGCTGCATCAATAAGCTTTAATAATAATTGCTTATTTTCAAAGCATTTTTCACTTATTCTTCTTAATTCCAGTGAAGTAAATAAATATTTCTGTCTTTGTTTTGTTACTTGGAAAGTAGCACAGAGAAGGTAGAGCTCGCTCCTTGCTCTGTAGCGATGTATTGACAGACTTTTGGCTAAAGTGTGGCAGCTCCAGCTCCATACCAATTAGCCTCAAATATTCAGGCCAAGGTGACCTGTCAGAGGAGCTCGAAAAGGAGTCTTACAAAGTATCATCTGCAGAAGATAGCAACCATTTTCTCACATCTTTTCTGTCCTGTGGATTCCTCAGTCACAGAAGGGAATGTGCTCCTAGCACAGTTATTTTGAAGGGGAGCTGATTTTGCAGGGTACCTCCCATCCCAAAACCTTTACTTTTGAAGCTCTGCTGCTAGCTAATGATGTTGATGCACCAAAAATGCCATCTGCCATTTCAGAACTGACACCTGCCCTGCACATAGTTTTGAGCATCTCATATGGCAATGCCAAAGACACATTCAGGCTTTTAATGAGCTACTCATCTTTCTCTCAATCCGACTCAAACATAATTTTTCTTCTAGTTAGATATTTCTGTACATACATAACTGTATAGCTACAGAGATATGCTCTGGGAATTAAAAAATTCAGACTTCATGAATATTTTTGGGAAGGAGCCTAACTCCTATTACTTTACAACTTCACTTTGAAATCTGCAAGACAAGAAGTACCTTCAATTTATTTTATCACTGTAAGGGTACATATATTTTTCTTGTTTAAAACTGAAAATCTGCATGAATAACTACATTTTAAAGTCTGCTCTAAAATAAAAGGAATTGTGTGACTAGTTTCAATACCTTCAGTATAATGGTACTGAAACTCCAAAATTGTAATAAACAGTGTAATTTCTTGTAATACATTGAAATAATGTTACTATCATGAAAAATTGCGTTTATGTCACCTGAATTAATATTTGACCCCTTTGAGCTGGAAATGCCTCTTCAAGCCTGAAGTTCTCCAAGAAATGACAGTACCATGACAAAAGTTCTAACTCCTTTTCACAATCTTCTAACGACATCTCTTCAGCTATTATTATTTTGGTCCAAATTCCACTTGGCGCAATCCATGGGCTGAAATATGCCTAACTCCGGAAGAACACTGTCTTGAGTGAGCTTCCCACTGAAATTTTTTGTATACAGCCGTGTGTTACCAGGTACAGTGTTTGCTCACCCTGCTGCATCTACCATATATGTGCTGGAAAAGCCACTCAAATGATTTGTAACAAGTTCAGCTGAATGCGTCTCTGCCAGGGATCAAGCTATACCACTCAGTACTGCAGGACAAATTGAGGCTCTCAAAAAAGCAAAATGCAGCAGCACTGTTTGATTACTCTTCTGTAAAAGGACCACTCAAGAGCACAAAACTCTCTCTGCTGCCATGACACAGTACCAGCGCAACAGGACTATTTCTTAGGATTTTTCAATCACCACTTGAAATTTCTGTGCTGTATCTTACTAGCTAAAAGTTAAGATTATCCACATACACTCCTAACTTCTGTTCATCATTTCACTTTCAACATTTATTTTAATATGTATTTATATATGTTATATATTAATGCTTATGTACAACTATACGTTTATGTATAAACATATTTTTTTGTTACCAAATCTAGTAAAAGGCAAAAATTATTCTTGTTTCTTTTGTTTCTTATTTTTGTTTAAGCTCAGTTAGGTTTGCTTCTAGGGAAATGCCTGGCATACATAAAAGGAGGTGGCAGACTCCACAATGTTCAGGCCATGTGGGACACAAGCGGTGAGGAAGCAGAGGAGCCCTGGTGCAGTGGGAAGAATGCAGTTCCTGGGGTATTACTTTTTGGGCTTGCTAGATATTTAATGTTTCAGACCTTAGATATCAAAGTTACTCTTTTTTTTTCTTCCTTCTTCTGAGCAAGCTTAAAAGAATATATTTCAATTCCAATCCCCACCCCTTCCATGGAGAGGATTGTTTTAGTTCTGTGAAATGTTAAAAGTTGTATGTTATCTGTTGCATTGCACTTGTATATTCTGTTCATGAGAAAGGTTATACAGAATATAAATAAGTCTAATGACAAAAAGACATTGTAAAACAAAGAAACATAAAACACCTGGTTTTAAATTACTTTTGCTTCTCATTCCTGACGCAAGTAATGATGTTCAAAACACAGTACTTTTGCATAAATAATTTCCATTTCAATGAATCAGTGCTTGCTAAGGGGAAAATATTTACATCTTTGCTTGTTCTATCAGCTTCTCGATTGCAAATACTGCCTCAAAACAACAACTTACCAAAAAATCTTTTGGAAAGCTACAAAATGTTAAAGATTTTCTTGGCCTAGAGAGAAAATCAGAGGGATGAGACACTCTCAGTTAATGTGGAAGCACGGCAGCAATAAAATGCTGAGTTGACAAAAATTACTTCCATTCAGTACAGCAATCCAAACTGTTTTGGTTCCAATTAAGCAAAAGAGAAATGGTAGAAAATTGGACAAAAAAACATTGATAAAAATACTGATTAGCTCAACTAAAAAGGCCAGGATGAAAAGGCTCAACTATTTAGGATCAGAGTTGAATCCTGTATTTGGAAATTACAAGAACTGTGGAATAAAGTAAAAGTTTATTATATTTATTTTGGTTTTCACTGTTCTATCTTAATTTAAAATGTTTTGACTGAAAAGTCTAGGAAAGATTACCAGCAAGAGGTTCAGGTTCCATTTTACTTGTCAATTATTTAGTTCTTTCATATAAACTCCCACGGCCGAACTTTGATCTCTCATTTTCCCTATTGAGATAATATATAATAATTTCATAAAGCGGAGCAACTCTTCTTTTATCCCTTCATCATATCAGCTGATTCACTATACCAAGAGAATGATGGAACCGTAAGTAGAAATGCAGTGTAAAATGGGAAATTGGTCTATTACAAATTCCTTTAAGTGTGTTGCTGAAGCAGTCTGGCAGCAGCCACTCCAGGTATTCTGTCATGTCAGAACAGCTTAATCCACTTCAGCATTTAATATATTTTCTGTTTGCTCTTCACTCCATTGATGCAATTACTACCCAATGGAATGAGTCCTCCAGGAAGAGATGATGTGAGTCAAAATGCGGTTTCAGCACTCCTTTAGCCCCAATAATCATCTTGAGGGAAGAAGCAAAACAAACAACAAAAAAGAATATTTAGCTGGATCTATCCATCTGTCTATTATCTATCTATCTGTCTGTCTGTCTATCTATCTATCTATCTATCTATCTATCTATCTTTTGTTAAGAGTTCTCTAGTGGTATTTCAAGATGATCCTCATCCAGTTGCCATTAATATAGTATTGCTGTTATCTACTATAGAAACTGGATTTAGTGCAAAGATGGTGCTTGACAGTAAGTGTAAGGAACTAAAAGAAGCCTGCTATTGAAATTGCTGATCCCTCTCTGCACCTGCTCTTTGCCACGTTTTTTGTATTGATTTTTTTTTTTTTAATTGACATTTTAGGAATATGGGTAAGTGTTCAACCACTGGGTGTTAAGTCACAGTATGTGCAATGAATAAAGCCCAGGCATAAAAATAAGGGTTATGAACAGGCGTGTATACTGTCAGAACAGTGGTACTGTTTGTCCACTAACAAAGTGTTCTTTATGAAAAACCTAATAATTATTTTCAATTTTACTGTACATCTTGATCTTAACCAAGGCCTTGACCAAATCTTGATCTTAACTTTTGTGGATTAGACTATCCTTGGTGGCAAACTCAGATCACCTTTACTGGAAAGCATCTACTGTATATATAACTTCAAATGATGTTAAGGGTATTTCTGTATTAAGTTTATTTGAGTCCAATAAGAAAAGTTTTTAATAGAACTAATTAGGAAATAGTTTGTTCTGTTTTCAATTAACACGTCAAAATAGTAGCCTCATGTTAACTTTTCAGTTAAAGAGTGCTGGGTTTTATAGTAAACAATTCCAATCACTCATTTTAATCAGTTGTGTTGATTGCTAATTTTGTGTTCCCCTTGCAAATGTTTCATTGTGTTGGAGCTTCAAAGCAGAACATGGAGCCTGATTTTCTGAAGAACATAGTTACAGAAACACAAACCTAAGTTTAGTCTTGTTTATTCTCAAGCATCTATGTTTCTATTTTTATTTAAATTTTATACTCCACACTTTTTTTATTGTATGTTATTGATTTTGGTTGATACCATAATCTTTCATTTCTTCAGCATTTATGGCTGATGTGATGCAAGATATTTGACGCATCTAGTTTGCAAGTATTTATTGACACCTGCATTGGAAATGAAAGTCTGAACTGGTTTCTGTGGCAAGAGAAGTATCTTTATTAGTATATTTAATTTGCCAAAGAAGCATCTGTACTCTTGTTTGCTGCCATTCCACCACCCTTATTCCTTGAGTACTTTTCAATGAAGGTGAGGTACAGCACGAGGTCTGAGGGGATCAATAACCACACACCCCCAGATTTTTCATCTCTAAATCATTCTTCAAAAGCTGGCTTTTGACCAAAATCGTGACAGTTTGACAGCTGTTCGGTCATTTATACAAACTAAACTGGTGGCCTCCATCCAGTTGCTAGTTCAAGTGGGCATCTGCATCCAAATGTTTATATTAAATTAGTTCCTTTATATGGAAATCTCAGCAGAATTGTCAAGATTCAGTGTCATGGAGATTTGTCTCAGGAACCACTCCAGTGTCCTGCTAGTTCTTACCTGGGTTGTGCTGGGCTTCACAGATAATTTTCCACATATTTCTAAAACTTAGGCTGCACATCTTCCAAAAATCTTTCAATCTGTCTTTTCTGAGAAAAGTGTGATACTCATCACAGCCACCATGCTGGTGCAGAGACCAAAACATTAACTTCTTGATTTATAACTCATTTAGGTTTTTTATGTCTCAATCCCCTAGCTCCAAAATTCAGAAGAGGTAGGACCACTGAGAATAATGTCAGTACCCCATTGCAATGGAACTGTAGGTGGTGTTTCTCCTTTCAGTGCCTTTTACACCTTGAAAATCTGCTCTCATTCCACATGCTGGTGTGTTAAATAAGAGACTTGCGGTCACTTGACCGCATCACAGGGCATGCCTCAAAGGCGGTGACCCCACAAATGCCACTTTCTCTTCATTCTCAGAGACATTATTTTCCATACCACATGCAAAAATCCACAGTGAACTTTATTTAATCAAACATTTACAGAATACTAATTTGACGCCACTATTGTAGCAACGCTCTTGGCAATAGTCCAGTTCCATCATTGGAATAAACTGTGCAGCTTTCAGCTTCATAGTTTATTCACTTGGAGACTGTTACTGACTTGTAAAACACTGCAATAGTACTATTACCACTTAATTATATTGCAAGTTTTTTCAGACGTTGGAGTCTGCCTTCCTACATCAGCCATGGCAGATTTCCTTGAACCCCAGAATGTACAAGAAATACAAAATGATCTTTTCAAACACATATAAATACATCTCAGAAAGCTGTTTTGTCAGTACATGGACAATTGTCAAGATATTATGCTCAAATGTAATAAATTACTACTTTAGAACAAACCAATTAATATATTCCTAGTCGAATTAGTTCTAAAAGGTAATTTTGAGTCATCACCTATAATTTCTTACATAAAAAAATCCCAGCAACAATATAGAGAAATGAGCTACTTATCAGGGTAATGAGTATTCACTGAGGAAAAAAAAGAGATTGAAAGAAATGTTGAAGTTTAAACTGCATAATCATTATCACTAATTGTAAGTATCTGCAATAGGTATTTTTGGAGGTAATTTTAATAATGAAAACATCTAAATGTCATACATACCAAAAATTTATTCCAGGAGATCAAGGCTCTTAGTATTATTTCTATTTGATGACTAACAGACTTTTTTCTGTGTTGAAGCACTTGTTAAAATTAGGAAATATTGCTCAAAAAGAAGCAAAAGTAAAAGCTAAATCAAAATAATATTAACACTTCCTAAATCATGGTTATTTTAGTCAAGTTTAAGCCACAATTTCACATAATTTAAACAACTTTAAAACATAGGATTACTTGTTGTATACCTTATTTCTATAATAGTTGCCATTTATTAAATATAATCACTTATGTTAAAGAAAAAAAAAATCATAGTGATTTAATTAATGGCCAGAATGAAATTTGAGCTACGTTTATATTAAAATCATAGAATCATAGGACGGTTTGTGTTGGAGGGGACCTTAAAGCTCATTCAGCTCCAACCCCTCTGCCACAAGCAGGGACATCTTCCCACTAGTCCAGGTTGCTCAAAGCCCCATCCAACCTGACCTTAAACACTGCCAGGGATGAGGCAGCCACAGCTTCTCTGGGCAACCTGTTCCCATGCCTCCCCACCCTCACAGTAAAGCCTCTTCCTCATATGTAATCTAAATGAAAGGCTATTTTCAAAGGCTGTTATAAAGGTATTAGGTAATCCATATATGTCTCCAGACTGACAAAAATGTTAGAAATCCTGATTGCTTAGTTTCCCTTGAAACAGGTTAGGAAATGAGAATATTTGACTTATTTGACTAAACAAATATTCACACATATTTGAAAGTTTAAAATGATGTCACTTGTCCAACTGTCTCAGTTTAATGACCTCATTCAACCCATCAGTTCTTTCAGGTCACTATTTTTTTGCTGTATGACGCAGGGTAGAGAATTGCAGTCATCCCAGTCAGCTTTGCCAGCAGGGATGCTAAAAGAAGGGAACGTAAAAAGGGCATGGAGCTGTTAGAGCAAGTTGACAGGAGGGCCACAAGGATGATCAGAAGGCTGGAGCACCTCCCATATGAAGATAGGCTGAGGAAGTTGGGGCTGTTCAGCCTGGAGAAGAGAACGCTGCATGGAGACCTCATAGCAGCCTTCCAGTATCCGAAGGGGGCCTATAGGGATGCTGGGGAGGGACTCTTCATTAGGGACTGTAGTGATATGACAAGGGGTAACGGGTTAAAACTTAAACAGGGGAAGTTTAGATGGGATATAAGGAAGAAATTTACTGTTAGGGTGGTGAGGCACTGGAATGGGTTGGCCAGGGAAGCTGTGAATGGTCCCCCCCTAGCTGTGTTCAGGTCCAGGTAGGACAGAGTCTTGGGTGGCATGGTTTAGTGCTAGGTGTCCCTGTTGGAACTTGATGATCTTAAGGTCCTTTCCAATCCTAACTATTCTATGATTCTATGATAAAACTGCTTCCCATATAGTAAATTCTGACATAGAGAAGAGCTGCAGGACAGTAACAAAGGAGCATGGTGAACAGTATGTCACGCATGCAGCACTGCAATACGCCAAAATCTCCCAGCCCTGGTCTGTTAAGTAGTGAAAATATCAAGTCTCATTTCTGCCCTGCTATGAAATCTAGGGCAAGAGGCTTTGAAGGTAAGCGCTGATACTGCAGCCAGTTGCTTTTTTACAACAGAAAATGTAAAAACAAAAATAAGAATGCTGATTTACAAATTCCAGTAGAGGAGTAAAGTTCAGCTGCTGCATATTCATATCCCATCTCTGAGTAAGCCTTCTTCCATTGACACAAACCTTTCCTGCATACCAAATGTTAATGCATATTTATATATTTATAAAGCATACCCAATATTTCATCATTCATGATTATTTACTATATACAGGTATGTAGTCAAAATTCAGGTGGCATCTAATTTCCCATACTGTAAATTTGTCTCCAGACCATATTATTATACTCTGTGCTCCTGCAGAATCATAAGGTATTTCACCACTGAGGATTTTATCTTCAATTATTCCTCAGCCTCCATACTGCAGTTCTTAGAGCATTATGCAATACACAGACAAATTTATCTCCAGGTACACATTATCTAAACTGATATGCCTGTAAGCATAAATAGCCTATCATAATGCTAATTCTGGTATTAGGATATAGACAGGAAACACAGTTCAAAAGATACAAAGAGGGTTGTGTTGTTCTTCAGTTTTGTTTTAAACTAGAAAACATTCCTGGTTCTTTGAGTCTTTGTGAAGAACTTGGAAGGTGAGTTACTGGCCTTTAGACAAGACAATGTCAATAACACACTTAGCAGAAATTATGAAATATCTCCCAAATTAGTCTTTCTATGAAAACAGCCATTTATTGAGTGAAACAATATACTGTTTGCTACCATGGCTTTTTATTTTCTTTTTTTTTCTTTTTTTTTTCTCCTTTACCTTTTCCAGCACTAAATATACAAACATGAGTGCACAAAGTGTCACATTTTTATACTTTATTTAAAGAAATTAAGAGGAATAAAAATAACTGAGAATGGTAAAAGTCCTCTTGTGCATTCCTGACATCTGAGTTCTCATTGCATGTCACTCACAGTACTAGTCTAATTTAAAGCATCAAAGCTGTAGAAATAAACATTGTTCTATTCTTTGAATATTAACCTGCAAGGCTTAATTAATATCTAACAATCTACCATAAATAAATACAGCTTTTGTTTTTTTCCTGTTTTTTTTTCCAGCAGTGGGATGTGTCCGGGGTTCAGGAGTAGCAGTCATGTTTCTCCTTCGTGGTAGCTGGTGCAGTGCTGTGTTTTGACTTCCAGTCTGGGAACAGTGCTGGTGATACCGATGTTTTCGGTTGTTGCTAAGTGATGTTTACCCTGACCAAGAACTTTGTGAGGCTCATGCTCTGCCAGGGAGGAGGGGAAGCCATGAGGAAGCAGAGATGGGGCGCCTGACCCCGGCTAGCCAAGGAGGTATTCCATACCACAGCACGTCATGCCCAGGGTGGGGGGTAACTGGGAGTTACCCGGAAGGACACGGGCTTCCGGGTGGGACTCGTTTCTTGGCCGGTGATATCGTATTCTCTTCCCTTGTTATTTTCTCTTATCATTGTTGTAGTTGATAGTAGCGGTGGTGATTTGTGTTGTACATTGGTTGCTGGACTGTTCTTGTCTTAACCCGTGGGAGTTGCACTCTTTTGATCCTCCTCCTTGTTCCTCTGGGAGTGGGGAAGGGGAGAGCCCCGGGGGGGGGACTAGATTGCTCTCAGCCTGGCACCACTCACTGAGAGGGTGTGAACAAGCTGTCTGGCTAGGGTTTAAACCACGACAGATGAATATGTCATGCCTCCTAGGTTGAATTAATATCCTAAGCATATTCTAATTTAATTATTTGCTCTCATGATGTAAAAGTTTAGTTGCCATCTACAACAGGAGGATCTTGTCTTCTTTCTGTATTGAGAATTTATTTTAAAAGAGAAATTCGGGCTGTAAAACAAGATATCCAGTGATAATGAAATAAACAAAACCATTTCAGATTACAGATAAGACTGACAATGGCATTGGTGTACTGTAGGAAGGCACTTGTTTCCTTATAAATGGGCATACACATTTCTGATGAAAAAATCAGCAATTATTTTTAGACAAAAAGTAACAAAGTTAAAAAATAAAATGCTCAACAAGAAAAAGTGTAGATAAACACGGAGGAACCTAATCTCACTAAAATCATTTCTGGAAGAAATACATGCTATGAATGCTCCATATACTTCTTACTACTGAAGAGAATACATTAAAAAGATGTGTAAAAGATATGTATGCACCCAGATACATTTGAATATATCTTTTTTTAAGACTAAAGTGAAAATACAGATACATTCCATTGTACTTGCTCAGGTTTTGAAACAAATGTGAGACGTAATAAAAAAATACAATGCTGAAGCAATTTTGCAGTTTGAATACATAATCTTCTCTTATCCACTGATAGTCTAAATAACTTCTGGCTACTAATCCTGTTCAGACAATAGTTAAGAACTTCTGCTGTAAGCAGTCATGAGATGCTTGTATTACTTATTTCACAGTTATATATCAGATTTATTCTTCAATTCCTTGAGAGAATCCCCTTTTGTTTATTATAAGCATTGGCAAACCCGTTGCTGTAGAGATTCAAAGGGATGCATACTTTCCATTTCATTTATAATTAGAATATTTATTTGCCTTATGTTTTAACTAGGAAATAAACATTCAATGTCATATGTAAGGAATAAAATTTGTTTAATAGCATGCTACTATTTAGCACTACTTTTTAAGCTCTTACAGCAGCTATAATTTTGCGGCTGTCTTATTTCCATAGTTTTCCAGGACACTTCATTCATCAGTAAGCATTACTTTGTCAAGTTGCAAATGACAGTATATTTTACTAATAAATGCCATACTATTTAAATCATGATTGAGGCACCTGGATCACATAAAATGTGTATTACAAAAGTATTAGAGTGCAAGCGAGCAAAATAGTCTATCTCCCAGAACCAGTGTTTGAAAGTAAACTTCCCTGAAGAAGAACAGTTTATGATTTAAGGCCATCTCTAAAATATTCACATTGTGGTCTGTCTATTTAAAGATCTCATTTATGTGCTGAGCTCAAACATTATCAGACTATTTTCCTACCCACATTTCTGTAATCCCAAAGTTTTCTCTGTCCAGTGTCCGGTATTACAGTTGCCTTTTTTTTTTTTTTTGTCGTTCTTTGAGCAAAGACTGCTCAAAACTAAGACAGTTCAGTGAAAGATATCTACAAAAGGAAACATAAGCCAGACCGCAGCCATAAATGTGTACTGAAGAAAATGGAGCTCCTTTCATTTGCACCATGTAAGGATCTAACATTTTGTATTCTGGCAAGACATCAAAAATTTCTTTCCTGTGAATCATCTACAGCCTGCAAGAGAAATGTCTCAGAATCATGTGCCTTCTTCCAAGTATTCGCATCTCACTTTTATTCAGATATAACTTCCAATAAAATTTCTGTTTTAGGAAGTAACACATATTCAATATATGTCTGGAAATTGCTTTAGAAAAGCAAAACTAACCAAACAGGCACTCTATAATTTGTTGCAAGAGTTAACCTTTTATTTAGGATTATGGATTTAGGCCTATTGCCATTACTCACATGAATAACTTCTCCTTAAGTGAGTAGTAAGACTGCATTTTAAGGGGTTTTCACTAAGTAAAAGCAATTGGGCTGAAACTGAACTGTAAGAAACGTTCTTTTAAATTAAAAAAGTGTTTGTGTAGGGAAAGGATGGCCAATAAATTTCAGTTAAACTCAATTCTGTTAAAATCTTCAATGTCTGCTATAATAAAGACTTCAGTGAAAATGAAAAGTACCAAATACTTCACAGGAGGACTCAAGTGCTAGGTATATTTCCATAGAAAATGGACAATCCATAGCAATATTTGTTCGCAACAAAATGTGGGTTTTTTTCTAATCTTTCCAGAAGTCCTTTCCAAAATGGGTAAGAGACTTGAATTCAGGCTTGTTTGCCAACCAACAAAGCAAATTATCCTAAGCTTGATTATGCAGATTTTCCTGGACTCCAGGCAAATATTTAGTCTTGCAAAAAAGTTGTATATTTTATCAGGTTTCAGCCTTGGCTTCAAACTTCATAAGAGTCTGGAAATGCAAAGGGCAAGCGATCATTATTTGAATGCCATCACCTAGTAGTTAATTTTCAGAACTTGTCCAATTTCCTGAAGATTTCAGGTGGGGAGTTACCTTTGTCTTCAGTAAAACCTATTTTATCAGCTTGCTGACTTTCACCCTATAGAATCTTTTAACTGATTTTGATAATCCTTGGGTTAAATTAGTGCATGGTGTATGACCTAGGATGAAGCATTCTGTCCTGGCTAGCAGTTTGCTCACACCACAGTATATTGAAAACTTCCTTTGGCACAAGAGTAAGAAGAGAAATAGTTCTCAAAACTGTTGTTTGTGCTGGAAATCAGGAGGTTTCTCCTTTGCAAACACAGCAACACAGCACTTCTTTCTGCAGTTTTGTTTTTCTGCAATTTCTTTCCCCTATGCAGGTGGTTGAGGTTGCAGATGGACACGGGAAAGTCAGGCTCAGTAGGACAGCTGTTGCTTCGCATCACTCTTGCTACGATTCTGAGTGCTTGTCATCTTTATGCCTCGGTTTGTTTGCTTTGGGATTTTTAAACACTGTGTTCATTGGAAAAACACGGAGGAAGGGAGGACTGGCCAGCTGGCAAGTAAAGCTGAACTCAAGATGGAGAGGGAAGAATCATGGCAATCACATTTCCACTGATTTTTAATATGGGGTTGGAGATTTTTTGGTTATGTACAGGGAAGGGAGGACAGATAGTTTTACATAGGAGGCTTTGGTGTTATGACTTTATACATCTGTAGTATGGTTTGGTTTTGAAAACAAAGAAGGGTGACCCTACATAACTATTATCTCTATGGGGAATTTATAACTAAAATTCTTAAGTGCTAAAGAGCAATTTGATGTCAGTAGGGTCTACTTGACTAAAATAAATGCATGTCTCAAAACTTGCTAAAATTGTTACACTTTATCTTGATTTTTCAGTTACACAACACAGTTTATCTAATACCGATAAGCTGGAATTGATTTTGGGCTTGTGCAAAACAAGCGAAAGTCAGGGGTAAAGACTTTGGTCTACATCACAGAGGAAATCAAAGTACAACATAACACAAAATTCAAGGACTGATTTTGAGACATTTAGAGAGTACATAACACCATCTCCTTCAATTAGTAAAGAATAAGTGAATATAGCAAGCATATTTTCTGCTGCATTCTTTCAAGGCTCACTTACACTAGTAGCCCATTTATTAACCACCATGATAGCTGTATGTCAGTCCTGTAGGAAATTTATATTTGCTAGTGTTCCCCCCGATCCATATCGATAGAGAAGTTTTTAGGGGTTAAAGTTATTCCTTTAAGGCTGAATTTCTGTTATGTTTAGTCTTGTGAAAAAACATAAAGCAATTTTACTCTGAGCTACATCAGCTTCCTTTCCAGGCTTCCTACTTTCTTGGACCGTCCGAAAAACTTGAGTCCTGAGTTTTTAAAGGCAGCTTCTCATTTGCATTTACAGCTAAATACAGGCACAAATATACAGCTAGCTATCTGCCTGCTTTAATGATCAGGCACAGTAAATAAATATCTAACCTCTGTTTTCCTCTGCTCACGTCACCTGGGCTAAGATAAAAAAGTAGTTCACTGCAATAATAAATAATATGTACCAATCAGACAGGTTCTGTCTCCTTCTTCTAGTCAATAACAGGGATTTTGTTGTTTGTTACTTCTTTTTTTTTATTTTTTATTTTCTTAAATCAGTACCACTGACCTCAACGGGACCAACTGCTAAAGAGGGTGCTAATACTGGTAAGGGAGTAAGATTAGAGAAGGCAACCCTGTGTGAATAACCACCTAAGCACCCATTTAACTTTAAGCACTTCCTTATGGCCCTAGAAATTAATAGCTTTACGCATTTGCTCAAAGTTAAGCAT